ATATATTTACAAGGGTTTTAAAAATGTTTTAAATGGATTTAGAAGGATTTACAAGGGTTTAAAATTTTTTATAAGAGTTTTTAAAAAATTTAAAAGAATTTACAAGGGGTTTAAAAGGGATCCAAAAGGGTTTTAAAAGATTTTACAAAGGTTTTAAGGATCTTAAAAGGATTTACAAGGGTTTTAAAGGATTTACAAGGATTTTAAAAGACTTTTGTAAAGGTTTTTAAAATATTTACAAGGGTTTTAAAATGACTTCAAAGTTTTGAAAAATATTTTACAAAAGGTTTTAAATTCAAAATTTGGCGTGAAATGTTTTGGCGGAAAATTTTTGGCGCCAATTTTTTGATGGAAATTTTTTTGGTGGGAAAAATAAATTTTGGCGGAAATTTTTCACTTTCTCATAATGTGCTCTCATTAAAATAAAGGTAATTTAGTCATTTTGTACATAAAGAGAGGTATTTTTCAAAATGGACAATAGAAGGGGGTATTTTTGGAAAATGACATAGGAAAATGGGTATTTTTGCAAATGTTCGTAAAAAAAAAAAGATAAAACAAAAATACGCAACTGTAAAAGACATGTATTCGGATTGCAACTTTCTAGAAAAACACAACTCTAAAATATATCTTTTAGCTTATAAGAATAAGTTAATGTTATATCGCTTTATAAAATAAACTAAAAGTTACAATTGTTCGTAAAATAAACAAAATGTTGCAATGGTTCTAGTTCAACTAAACGGTTGTAACATTTTATTAAAAGTTACGATAAAAAGTTGCAACCATATAAGACATTTTTATTTGGATCGCAACTTTCTAAAAATGTATCAATCGTAAAATATATATATTTAGTTTTTTAAAAGAGGATTTAACAAAAGTTGCTACAGAAAAGACACAACAATTCATAACTGCAAAATGCATTTATTCGAATTGTTATTATTATATAGAATTATATTTTATATTATTTATTTCTGAAATTCACATGAGTTCTTTTAACTCTATGTTGTTCTAGCTTTGATTTAAGTCTATATAGTCTAATGTGTGCTTATTTGGTCTCTGTGGATTTGATGTTTATATACTATTGCGGTTGCATGCGTACTTGCAGTTTATATTAAATGTATTGATAAATTTTACTCGTAACACACCATATCCTTCTTGAACCTTGAGCATAAATTGATAATCACTAGCAAAACATATACTCACTTGTATAAAGAACATCCATCTTTTTATTTGACTCTTTATAAAGAACTTTTCTCCTTATTGTACTAGAATTTAACAGTTAAATTCATACATCAAATTATCTGTCTTTTTTTTTAGTTTAATATAGGATAGTGTTTCGAATTTTCAAACAGATCATCACCATTTTTAAATAAATAATACTAATACAGATATATCAAACCTAAGGAAACATTATTGTTCTTCTTTAGGTTTGTATTTGCATCTCCTCTGCTGCTCTGTCACATTTCCGACGAATTTTCCGAGAAACTTCCTACCAGTTTTTGACTACATGATTTCGTTGACGAAATTTTCCGACGAAATTCTGACAATATATTCATCCTTTGGAATTTTGTCAGAAACGAGTAGGAAATAGTCAAGATATGCTTATGTTTTCTTGTAGTATATGTCAAGCATTTAGCAAAAAAAAAGTAGTATATGTCAAGCTTGTATCCTTCTCAATAAATTTGATAGTTTCTTGGGTTATATAGAATGTGAATTCTATCCACGAAACTTGTGCAAATTGTTTTCGAATGGCCGAACATGCATTACATCGCCATTTCCTAATCCCACATGTGGATATGATGAAGACCAAAGAGGGGTTCTTCACGTTTGTTTTCTTTAAGTGATCAATGTTGTCGGGATGAATGTGGATTTAAAATGGATGCAACATATGCTTCTTGTGTATAGCTACTATACCACATCGCGCATTCATATCTCTTTTTTCTGTTTCAAAATACATAATTTAATGTTTCTCCTACTCTACAACTTAGATTCCAAATGCGCAAAACTATATATAAATATTATTTTCTTTGACCTCTAAATTTTGTTTTTTGGCTTTTCTTATGGAGAAAGGTATTTTAGAATACCTTATTTAGGCGGGAAGCTGTTTAATGTTTCATTATTGATATTCATCATTTACTTTTTCATTTTAATTTTATTATTATTTCTAAAAATATTTATTGTTTTTTGATGAAATTTTACTTAGTAAGCCATAGATACTCACATTTACATTTAGCACATTGATTATTTTTCTTTTTGAAAATTGATTTATGAAAATATGGATAATTTCAAATGTAATATTACAAAAAAACTATCTGGACAAAAATTTAAGAAGCGCAAACAACAAAATTTTGCAGTGTTCAATATAGTTTCACACTTCTAACTTCTTATTGCCCAAACAACAAGATTATTGTTGTATTAACTTCTCCAATCCCAAGACTAGTCGTCGTTGGTTTAGAATCTTTAGGAAAAATGAGAAACAAAAAAGCTCTAAAATTCACAATAAACATTTCTTACAAACAATTGCGTGTAGAAATCGAAAGGCCGAAGGCGACAACAACCTCGAACGAACGAGAGGGTGTGGACACTTAACAGCTCAAAGAGGCAAAGACTTTGAATGAACAACTGATTGTAGAAGTCCATCGACTAAAGGTCCAGAATTTGTATGTTTTCCACACCTTTAGTTGTTGGAATTCTGCAATCATTATTTTTTCAAAGTTATTGACTCCTTCAACCGTTAAGCGTCTACACTCTCGTTTGTTCGAGGATGTTGATGCTTTTAGCCTAGGGGTGGGCAAAATTATATGTTGAACACTAAGCATGTCTAACTATTGGGAAAATTAGAAAAAAAGGATATCTACTTAAAAATTTGTCCATATATCCTATTTTTTTGTAGATTGGTCAAATAGGTTTTTTAAAAATCAAAACCCAACTTTGCCCTCATTTTCTCTCAAAATTAATTCAAAATTGATTTAAAAAATAAAACTTCCTAATCTATTTACAAAAATTAAATAGAAATCTAAATGAATAATGACCAAAATGTTTTCCTTTTTCTTGGTCGTCCTTAACTTTTTCATTCTTTTTTATAAATATATAACATAATTAGTCAATTGTCGTTTTATATATGTTTTAGATTTAAACAATACAAATTTTGAGAACACAGTTTTTATACAATAAATTTACTTTATTTCAAATACACTTGGGCTAGTATCAAAATAGTTTTGATATTAGTGAAGTACACGAACTATATAATGGTGTGTTTTATATAGCATTTATCAATATTTTTATATCCCACAAAAGAAATCACCAACTATTTAGATACATTTTTTTTAAATACACACAATATATATACATAGCACCAAGAAATATTTACCAACCCTTGCAACACATTCAAATGCAGCAATTGTTTAACATTTTTTGATAAAACAAGAGTTAAAGATATATCTAGTTAATAGTTGTATTAACATCCTTTGATACCATATTGTATCACATGCAATACAAGCACGGTGCCAAGTCTTTTTAAAAAAAAATTTTTTTGAAGTTTTCAATATCAAATTTTTAATACCTAACTTTAAATTAATATAGATACAATCAAATATTGACACCATGTATTTGGTTCTTGCTTTAGCTTTTCTCACCCGTTTTTATCCGAACAAGCTCCAAACCATTTAAACCCGCCATAAGTACCTAAAACCTAAAACACTCAAGACATGACAAATGACTCAAAACGACACCTCAAAACCGATAAAAACATAACACATCAACAAACGTTTTAGGTTTTAACTTTTTCTAAAAAACGTAGACAACAACTTCTACATCTTGTAGATCGTAATCTAAACAATAAATATTCATTTAAATCGTAATCTAAAAAAAATATTTTGTTTCATTTTCTGAATATTTACTTTCTATATTTAGAGCATTCTAAAAATTACAGAAATCGAAATCTGCAATACCGTAGAATTTACATTCTAAACTCAGATTATAATTTCTAACGATGGCAGAAGATGTAGAAATTATTAGAACGTCTATTCTAAAATATTTAGAACATAGAGAAAAATGTAGAATGCATGTTCTAAATATTTTAGATTTATGATTTTCTGATTTCTAAAATTCTCAGAACAGAAATCTAATCTGAAATATGTAGAACATGTACAAAAATGCAGAATACACATTCTGAGTTTCGCAGAACTCTAGAAAACGTGTTCTACCAAAATTAGATGAAACTTTATCTATCAAAAAATTAACTTTTTAAAACCAAATCTAAAAAATTCCACTTCAAATCACCTCTACTCTTGTATATCTATCTGTTTTTATGATTTTTTTTAAAAAAAAACATTTAAATTAGGGTGTAGGGGTAAAATCGTCCAAACTGACAATCTCACAAAAAAGGTGTATATGGACAAATTTTTAAGTAGATATCCTTTATTTCTAATTTTCCCCTAACTATTTATAACAAAGTTTTCAGTCCCTTTTTGCTTTCATAACCGATGTGGGATAAGTTGTTTTAATTCACGTAGACTTTTTAATCCCAAAAATATTGGATGAGGCTAATTATGATCAATATGGCTTCCATTTACATTAGCTATTGGGCTTTTATTGGATAGGGTCAAATTCCATATTTATTATAATTTTGAAAATGTGAAAATTGTAATTATAATTTTTGAATTTACATTTTTAAAAAGAAATCGTTTTTTTCTCAATTTTTAAAACTGATTATAATTTACAATAATTTTTATTTACCATCTTAACACACAATATATATTCCATGAAATTATGAAAAAAAACAAAAAAAAATTAAGATTCTCCTTGCATTATTTTCATAAAATTTTTGTTTACCGTAAAATGTCTTTTTGTGGATAATTTCGGAAAACCCAAACCGAACAAAACCCGAAAGATACCGAACTGAACCTGACCCGAAGACTTAAAATACCAAACCCTAAACCCGAAAAACCAGAACGCCCACCCCTAGTTCAGCCTTTCGATTTCTATTTTCTGCTTGCAATCATTAATGTTGAAAATCTTAATTTGAATCATCCAAACTTTAAAGAACCATAAAAATGGAAGTCCCAGTGTCTTAACGTCGAACCCTTTTTTTTTAACTTTCTTCTTTACAGAATGGAAAGTTCAACATAGTATCACACAAGTATGAACAAAAGCCACTTATGATGATAACAACCATAGAAAAACAGAGTTTTCAAAATATATGCGCGGCTAAGCCAATTTCATCTTCTTTATCTGTTGTTGTTAAGAACATGGTGAAGCCGGAATGTTTCACCTTGGTCTCCATTCAGTGACCGCCTTTCCAAACAGCACACGGTTAACTGTCTTAGAAGTTTCTCTAGATGGGATTGCAAGTGACCGCTTCTCTGCACATCTTTCTTATTTGGATTTGTTGATAGTATTGCTGCATTCACCGCATCAGCCACTAGTTCCCTCTGCGAGTCTTCTAGGAAATACCCGACCGATGATTCCTCAGGCTTTTCATACACGAGTAAAGCAAAGCAGTCCTGAATAATCAACAAGAAAATAGAGTTCATAAGCGATCAGCAACTAGATAGTCTCTGTATCTGAACGCAATACATACAAACTCTCAGAAACCAGATCTTGTTTGAAATAGAAAGGAATAATGTTGAAGGAGACATCGGTACCCTCGACTATATCTTGAAATCCAGTTAACCCAACAAATTTAGCTAACTCGAGTCTGCCATACTTCACACCTTCTTCAAGTTTTCCAACCTGTTTATGCCATGTTTTTCCAGAACCATATAGTTAGAGAAATAGCCCCATCTGCATAGATGTGAAAGTGAACAAAGAAGGAATAATCCAGAGAACCAACTTAAGGTAACATTTATACATGGTTTCCAGTGTGTTATAGGTTCTGTGCATTTTTTTTCATTAGTTTATGGTTTAACACCAAAGTCCATCACACAGTTCAAGCGGCTAATTTGTATGGGAAGACCAAATCCATCAAGCTTCCTTAATTACAAAAAATTCATTCTTATTCAATAAACTTTTAGTGGATTTAGTGGATAAGGAATGAAGAGCATACCCGTACTAATTCAATAAACTTTTGGCAGTGAAGGAGGAAGCAAACTACAGATTTATCGTCCTGCAGTAGGTACAGCTGGGCTGGGTAAGACTTCATATCTCAATCCTGGGAAGTGGATCATCTTAACAATTTGATAAAAAAATCTCAGTTCACCTGTACAATTTGGGGATGTAAATTTCGGAGTTCCGCCAGAGCAGTATCAATCTCACCATTCCTAACAAGCTACACCCACCAATAAAGAATGGATCAGTCAAAATTAACTAAACAAAGCAGTAATTTAGTATGGTTTTGAATATGAACCAAAAAAGCCCAGATACAAGAGTAATAAAGTCAGAGGATAACATGTCTAATATGTTAAACTGTAGCCCGATAGATACAAGTTCGATACCTGTCTAAAATTCTTTCTCTGTTTCAAAGCATATGAGTAATCATCCTCATCAATAGCATTTTCTTGATCTATATGGATTGGAGGAACTGTAGTTTGAGTAGCAAGGTTGAAAGCATTGAGTGTCTCCTCATACCCATAGTGTAGCAGGTAGGTCTTTACAAGCCTAATGATAAAGAAACAAAACTTTAGATAAAGCGTCATCAATCCATTGTCATCTGTTACTGCTGGAAAGGAGTGTACTTACCCATAACCAATGTTTGGAGGTGTGGATAGTTTTTCGATAGCCATTTGTTGCTTATTCCTCTCTAATGCTTCATATCCCTAATAATACAGAAAAAGGGTAACATCCCTCGTCAAAACCTAATTTCAAACATATATGTAATGGAGAAAAAATTTAAAGATTGTAAAACTAAAACTTGAGTATTTAAAATTTCAGTATTTAAAGTTTATAACTTGAGGGGCCAAGTGTTTGAGGTTTGATTACACAGGAATAGTAGAGGATAGTGGATACACGTAAAATAGCATGTGAGTGTACAAACATAACCACTCCCATAGATTCCGTAACCCTGGTACCAAGAACGGACATGAGGCATACCTATTATAATATTTCAATAGCTATAGACTCCTGGTTACACCATCCTTACTTTAGTATAAAGCTGTAAGATCTAATTAACCATGTTTGAAAGGATTTTTTCTCTTACCTTAATATCGAAAGCAAATTTGTTCTTCCCAAAATTGACTAATACCCTGCCAAAAATTCAGGCAAAAATGCATTGTGTAAACAGAGGAGATACATGATGGCATTGGTATTGATCATCAAAGACAGAGAGAGAGAACATACTCCTCATTTTGGCTATGTACAGCTACAGTAGGGAATATATGACCTCTTATGTCCTTAGGGATTTTCCCAACAATAGCTCCGTTTTTACTGGCATCAACAAAATAATCAAAAATGTCATCAGGTTTACAGACAAAGTGGATGCAAACAGGAAAATGGACGAATCATGAATTCAACTCCCAGTAGTAATGGAACTCATTTAAGTAGCAAAACACACGAAACAGTTTCTTTCTTACGTGAAAAAGAACTCTTGCGAAGCGTAGTTTATACCACCGCCAACTGTATCATCTTTTGTATACTTTGGACCAAAAGGTTCACCTTTCCCCTGTCCACGATATAGGAATCCATCATCCCCATGATAGCCACAGCTGTTCACTTCCCATCTATCATTACAAAAGAATCAATAAATCAGACACCCACATAACCTCAAATCCATACCTTATCCATATAAAGCTTCTTTCAAAGGCACTATCATCCATATTCGTAAAATCAAGAATCTAGCTTTCAATTGAGCCATGAAGCAATGTCTTTCGAATTCAGATTCTTCCCTAAACCACTCCTACACAACCTAATCCAAGAAGCTAAATCTGTATAATAACTAACCACTAGAGTGTACATCAGTAAGGAAACACAATTTGGATCCAGAATCAAACTATACCCAGGTTGTCTCCGCATTTTGAAGCTTTCCTTAGTAAAACCAATAGCAATTTGACCTTTAATCCCAGAATCTTTAACAAAAATCTCAAAGTAGTAAGTAAGACACTTGATCGGAGCAGGTTTATTCGCTTGAACAACACCAACATCGTGACCATGTAGATTCGTATTAGTGTACTTCACGGAAAGCTTATCCGGAGAAACCACAAGAAACCCGCCGGCGCTATTGATCGTGTTGAGCTCCGTCGGTAAATCTTCTCCTTCGTCTTCCTTCGCATTTCGTGTAGCAGCGAGACGAATCTTATCCAAGAAGTTTAAGTTCAGATCTTGACCGTTCACGACGTTGTTGGTTGTATCGCCGTTGGCGGAATTCGCCGGCGGCGGTGAAGAGTTCATTAGTTTCGGTTCCGATTTGGATCGCAGAGAAAACCCTAGAATTTTGAAGATGATTAGGGAAAATGGGCTCAGAGGTTTTTGGAGTATATAAGAAGAACACTGAATTAGAGAATTTGTTGAGATTTCTTCTTCTCTTGATTTTTTTTTTTTTTTGATCCGTTGTTTATTTATTTAGTGACCCGCTAGTTTCGGTATTTGTTAGACTTATTTTTTTCTTTTTCATATGTCTCTAAATAAATTTCATAAAGCTATTTTCATAAGAAAACACATTTTTATTTTTGGCAAGATCCATTTTTCCGAACGGAAAATTTGCATTCAAACGATTAAAAAAAAAAGTTTTTTTTTTTTTTTTTTTTTTAAAAAAAGTTGGTATACCTTAATTATTCATGAGAAATTCTTAAAAATGGCCCTAAAACAAGTTTTATTGACAATAATAGCACACACTCCATAAACTTCCAAAAATAGCACTAGTTAACTTACTATTAGTGTTTTTGTTCTAAAAATTTTATCACTAGCTTTTTTTATCAATAATACCACAACTTTTATATAAAAGCTATTCAACAAAATAAATTAGAAATAAATTTAAAATATTATATTTGGGTTCTCTATTTCCAATTTAGGGTATATATTTCCACCATTTAAAAGAGATTTTGATTCATTTTAATATTAGTTTATGGTATTATATTTGGGTTCCCTATTTCCAATTTAGGGTATATATTTTCACCATTTAAAAGAGATTTTTATTTTAATATTAGTTTGTGGTATTATATTTGGGTTCCTTATTTCCAAATTAGAGTATATATTTCCACTATTTAAAAACAATTTTGATTCAATTTAATATTAGATTAGTGTTTGCTCTCTTTTTTTATTTTCTATCTTATATTTTTATTAGGTTTAATTGAAGTTTATGGTGCTATTTGTGGAACTTTTCAAATGAGGTGCTATTTTTGGAAAAAAACAACTTTTTTGGGGCTATTTGTGTCAATCTCCCATTATTCATTGGATAATTACAAATTTTATTTTTGTATTCAAACTATTTGTCCCCAAGTCGCTAAATCAAAGGAGACAATGAAGTTTGTATGTGATTTTTTGTCTTTTGTATTGATCGAATTTTTTTTTTCTTTTTTACATCTTTGGATCGACAACCCGTGCTCCATAGTCAATCTTTATTACGCGAGGTAACGCGACTTAGTGGAGTCGAACTCCAGTAGAAAAAATGGAGACAGTTCCTCACTTCTTTATTCTTTCAGAACTCAGCATTATCGAAAATTATCAAACATTATTTCAATTTAAAAGGTTTTGAAAATCCAAATGGTACAGAATCTACAAAGACAATGATATACTGATGTGGTTTAACATTTGGTACTAAATTATCAGCTTTAGAGTTTAAAGTGCAAATTATGAAACATTTAAACTTATCATATTTCTTTTTATTAAAAAAAGTTTCTCTTTATATTTTCATAGTTCTCTTAAAATATATATAATATATAAATTATATCTACTATTTAATACATAATAATATTATAATTTTATAATTATGAAAATAGAAAAGATTATTAATAAATAAAAAATTGTCCCACATCATTACATTGTCAATCTCATATGATAGTGAGAAATATTTTGATTTTTCATCTGTTAGAAGCGTGTAGATAAATCACGTATCTTTGTTAGGATTATCCTTTTTTTTTTTTTGGTAAATTGTTAAGATTACCCAAAATTGTATTTTTAGTGTAAAAATATTATGGAGTTACTATTCAAATTCGATGAATTTAAAGTGAAAGAATCATTTTAGATTTGTAGTATGGTGTACCAATAAACCAATGGTGGAGCTATTATGGGAAAATGAAAGTGCAGAAATAACGGAGAAAAGAATAAACCAAATAAAGCAAAGGACAAGAATTGTAGTTTTCACGAAAAACAAGCAATGGAAATCATCAACATGGGTTGTTTCAATATGGTATCTTCCTCTATTTAGTGATCGAGAGATTGTTTATTGCTTTTCTTTTTGGATTCTAAGGTGGAGGGGTGACCGAAACCAACCACACGGGAGGAGATTCCATCGCGAGAGATGCTATTTTCCTCCCCGTGGAAGGTCTTATAATCAATCACACGTCTCCTAATCTCGTCTTTTAAGGTAAGTTGGAGAATTCTATGTTAAAGAAACTATATCTTCAATGCTTCTCATTAGATGATAATGATTGTTTGGTTTTTGAAAAATCGAAAGGTACTTAAAACAAACGTCATATTACCATCTTATTTGAGCATCCACTACAAATTTTTGAGATCAGATCAAATACTATTGTTTCTAATCATTACTACACTATCTACATATTATTGTAATTTCTATGTTTCATGATAGTTATAAGTAACAAAATCCTACTTTTATAATATTCAAAATCACCTAGTATTTCAAAATCATTAGTAAAATAAATATAAGTTTGAATCTTTTTGACAAAGATCAACAACATTGGTTTTGTCCTTATTGGACAAAGCACTCTTTGATTGGTTTTCTTAAACGTGGTTTGCTCAGATCTTCTAGGTTTTGAAGAATGGAAGATTTAAGCAGGTTGTCAAACCCGAAAAATTTCGGATTCATTGGAAGACAATCACTTCCCCAGAAAAACCTGGAAAAAAATATTTCTCCTCCTAATAATATGCACCACCACAGTGCTTCTTTAGATGATCTTTTCACAGAAGACCAACCAGCTTGGCTCGATGAGCTCCTAAGTGAGCCAGCCTCACCTAAGATTAACAAAGGTCATAGACGTTCAGCTAGTGACACATCTGCTTACTTTAACTCAGCTTTAATGCCTTCGACGGAAAATCAGCTTATGAAAAATCATGTTTCTGGTTCTTCTTGGCAATTCCAGAACTATGATTTGTGGCAGTCCAACTCTTATGAACAACATAGTAAATTAGGATGGGATTTGACTACCGCAAATGGAACTAATCTCCAAAGAAATATGTCATGTGGAGCTGTAAATAGATTAGGTACCTCAACATCGAAATCCATTGAGAAACATGTAAGCAAAATGAAAGAAGGAACTTCCACAAAACCAGATGGTCCTGGATCAAAGACTGACGCGAAACGTATCAAACAGTAAGTGGTCTTGTCTTTATCATCTACTAGTTAATTATTTTTTCTCATGAGTACTAATAGCTTAACCAAAAATATACTTTCGTTAAACATATTTCTAATGCGGTTTAATAATCTACAATTTTTATCTAACTCGAAATCATCAAAATGAAGTCAAAATGCTCATCGAGCACGTCTGAGAAGGCTTGAGTACATATCGGACCTCGAAAGGACCATCCAAGTGCTACAAGTAAGATTCAAGACTCATGTATTTCATGAAGTTCTTTAAGTCCATTAATAATATCAAGAGATCACTAATATTAAACATTAGTTATATTATACATGTTGGATTTTTCTTCAACAGGTTGAAGGATGTGAAATGTCATCTGCCATTCACTACTTGGATCAGCAGTTACTCATGCTTAGCATGGAAAATAGAGCTTTAAAACAACGTATGGATAGTTTAGCAGAAATCCAAAAGCTTAAACATGGTATTTAACCTTTAATCACTAGTAAAATATATGGATCAAAATGCATTTATTTTTCCTTTTGTGAAATTTTGATTTTGGGTGGTTAATACAGTGGAGCAGCAATTGCTTGAGAGAGAGATAGGAAATCTACAGTTTCGACGACACCAACAACAACAACCACAACATAACCAAAAACAAGTGCAAGCAATACAACAAAATCGATACAACAAATATCAACCACCTGTTACACAAGAACCCGACTCCCAATTTGCAGCCTTGGCAATATGATTTAGGAAATATGGATCCATTACAATTCAGATTATGCTGAGCTCTTCTTGCTCTATCGTAATGTCCATACAACATAGGTGAACTACTGATGTTTGTAGTTTTGAATGAATACCTAAAAAAACATCAATATGTATATCACAATGTGGTTGCCAATACCCCACTCTATTGCATTTCTCTATTTATGGCATGGTAGAGAATCTATTGTCAAGAAACAACTTCTTTCATGTTATGTCATAACTTGTAATTCTTCTTATTTCATCTATTATATATATGAATAAATAATTTTTGACAATTTATTTTATCTATATATAAGTTGTGACGGATTCTAGTAGATAAAAGGAAAAAAAAAAACGAAATATAATTACTCTGACTAACTATTTTATACACCAGTCAATATAATGAAAAATAAGATTAATATTAAAAAGAGTATTAAGAACATAATAATTTATTGGGTTTTTGCAACAAAAACAAAATCCTTCAAGCCGCCATTTTCTGTTAATTAAATTTACCCTCCATCTCAAAAAATGCATATTAATCCTATTAAGGAAAAAATTAATGAAATATAACTCTCATAAATATATTTTAAAATATTTTATGGTCACATACATTATATCTTCAAAAAAATTTAAATGGTCTTGGACCATCGTCGTGAAAACTTCAGTTTGATATATTATATATAAAAACTTTACAAATTTGACAACGATGAAGAAGTGTTATATTATGTATTATTTTTGACTTTGCATAATTGACTTGCAGAATCGTTTGTTATTTTGTTTAGTTCTAACCCTAAGTTATGAAAATTAATCTATATGTTCATAGATTTATTAGGAAAAATTGTGAAATCTAAATAACCCCCAAATATGTAACTCTAATTTCCATAATCTCGAGAAAAATGAAAGACGAAGATTTTTAATTTGGTTAATGTATATTTCGTATATGTTGTAAAGTGAGTATAGAGTTCAAACGATGAGTATTAAAATAAATAAATAAAATAATTTATGGCTTTTGTTTGGTAGGCAAAAATTTCATGTATTTTTGTGAATATCAAAAAATATCTTGTGTATTTTATGGAATTTTTCAAATTATAATTATAGTTTCAACGATTAAAAAACAAAATATTTTTATAAATATGGATTCAAAAATTATAATTTTCACATTTTCAAAATAATAATAAATATAGAATTTGACCATACCCAATAAAAGCCCAATAACTAATCTAAGAAGAGGCCATATTGATCATAATTAGCCAGGCCTCATCCAATGTTTTTGTGATTCAAATTTCACGGGAATGAATGCAACTTATCCCACATCGGATGTGAAAGCAAAAAAAGACTGAAAGTTTTGTTATAAATAGTTAGATGTACTGAGTGTTGAACATGTATATTTTGCCCACTCCTTAGCTGAAGGCGGCAACAACCTCGAATAAACTCTAGGGTGTAAACACTCAACGATTGTAGGAGGCAATAGCTTGAACAAACAATTGATTGCAGGAGTCCAACGACTAAAGCTGCCATCTTTAGTTTTTGGACTTTTGCAATCAAATGTTTGTTTCACAGCTTTTGTCTCCTTACCTGTTGAGCGTTTAAACTCTCTCGTTCATTCAAAGTTGTTGCCCCCTTTGGCTTCTTTCTTTTCTTTTTTTTTTCTGTTTCCAAGAAATATTTCTTGTGAATTTAGATTTTTTTTCTTCAGTCTCTTACTTTCCTAAGATTCTAAACCAACGTGGAGTAAAGTTTTTTTTCTTTTTTTGGGGGAAGGGGGGAGGGTGGAGAATTTAATCTTGTTGGTTGGACATTGAGAAGTCACAAGTGTGAAACTAAATTGAACACTATCAAATTTTGTTTTTTGCGCTCCTCTTCTGTCCATAATATTTTTTGTATTACATTTTAAACTATCCATATTTTCCTAAATCAATTTTCAAAAGAAAAATAAGTCAATATGCTAAATGTAAATGTGAGTACCTATCTTTTCCTAAGTAAAATTTTGTTAAAAACAAATAAATGCTTTTTTAAAAATAGTTATAAAATTAAATTAGAAGTAAATCATAAATCCACATGATATATTGAATTAGATCATGACATATATCCTAATGGTTTGTACTAGTGTTGTGATTTTGTTACCACTTGGGTTCAAGTTCAAAAAATAGATCACAATTGTAAGAGTTGTTAACAATTAAAAAAAAAAATCTGCATCTCTTATATATTATTTGATAAACATTTAGGAACTCCAACATTTATAAATAGTTGCTGAATAACAAAAGATTGTACATAATTTTGAATGATTTTACATAAATTCTATTTTCAATCACATAGGATTTGGAAAGATATTATAAATCTTTATTTCAATAGAAGATTTTAAAGAAAAACCAAAATCTTATAAAATTCATAATTCAATACCATGCCCTTTAGTTTATCAATAATTCATGAACCGTTTCATGAATGCTCTTAATGTTTGAATAGGTTCATGGGACAAAAACCCAAAATCTCAAGATATTGCTTGTTTTCAAGGAGTGTAGAGTAATGCTTCAAAAATCAGTGAATAGCTGAGTGAAATTATCAACTAAAATTGTTCTAATTTCGAGAACTAAATGGGCTGAGACTCCATCAAGTAGTTAGCCTTTTATTTGTAATTTTTGCATCAGTTTTCTTTGTTTTGCCCAAAAGTAGACTACAACCTAAAAAAACATCCAAAATACTATAATTTTTACTCTCTACATAAATCAACTAAGTAGTGCTCTTAATCCAGTAGACCACTTACATTATCTACCATGAAATACCCAAACACTTTTACCCCATTAAATTACCACAGTAAAATAATCCACAACAACTACAATAAAACCGTCACTGTTTTTAATGATTTTGGCGCGACAATAGTGTTGTTAGTGGCCAGCTTCACTATCAAAATTAATTTGTCAACTAGGGGAGGTCCCCGCGCCCAGCGCGGGGTTGTATGTTGATTAAGACCAGAATTAGTAATCAATATTTAGGGTTATCAAGTTAGGGATATTTATTGATTTAATTTTGTCAAGAGTCTAATTTTTATAACGACATTAATATAGAATTATGGTAAAACGCTATAACTTTTGATATATATTATTAGTAATCAACAATTAATAGTGTTTTTGAATCACAAACAATTATTAGTGTTTATATCTTGATATATATAATAGAATTAAATATAAAAAATCTATATATTTAAACCAACAATATATTAGCAACGCCCCGACCGCCACTGTCCATGGGTTCCCACGTCCAGTCTCGGTCTTTAGGCCCATCTTCTTTGTTTTGTCGTACTCTTGATTTTATGACATATTCATGCTTACTCGTTTCTTTCATATTAGCAACGCCCCGACCGCCACTGTCCGTGGGCTCCCCACGTCCAGTTCCGGTCTTTAGGCCCATCTTCTTTGTTTTGTCGTACTCTTGATTTTATGACATATTCATCCTTAGTCGTTTCTTTCATATTAGCAACGCCCCGACCGCCACTGTCCGTGGGTTCCCCACGTCCAGTTTCGGTCTTTAGGCCCATCTTCTTTGTTTTGTCGTACTCTTATTATATGACATATTCATGCTTACTCGTTTCTGTCATATTAGCAACGCCCCGACCGCCACTGTCTTTGGGTTTCACACGTCTAGTTCCGGTCTTTAGGCCCATCTTCTTTGTTTTGTCATACTCTTGATTTTATGATATATTCATGATTACTCGTTTCTTTCATATTAGCAACGCCCCGACCGCCACTGTCCGTGGGTTCCCCACGTTCAGTTTCGGTCTTTAGGCTCATTTTCTTTGTTTTATTGTACTCTTGATTTTGTGACATATTTATGCTTACCCGTTTCTTTCATATTAGCAGGATCAATTAGTAACAACCGATATGGGACCAAAGACCAAAACAGAATAATTTTAAAAATTTATATACTAATATTAAAAAAGGATCTTAGGCCATAATAATCATGTTCATGTTATGATAACCAAAGATATGTTGTTTCTATACTTGCTTTTGTCTTACGCTTGGTTTTATGATGTATTCATGTTTACTCGTTTCTTTCATATCTGAAATGTCCCGACCGCCATTGTCCGTGGGTTCCCACGTCCAGTTTTGGTCTTTACGCCCATTTTCTTGGTTTTGTCGTACTCTTGGTTTTATGACATATTCATGCTTATTCGTTTCTTTCATATTCGTAACGTCCCGACCGCCACTGTCTGTGGGTTCCCACGTCTAGTTTCAGTCTTTAATTTGGGACCATATTCTTGGTTTTGTCGTACTCTTGATTTTATGACATATTCATGCTTACTCGTTTCTTTCATATTTGTATATAACGCCTCGATCGCCACTGTCCATGGGTTCCCACGTCCAGTTCTTGTCTTTGGGCCCATCTTCTTGGTTTTCCCGTACTCTTGGTTTTATGACATAATCATGCTTACTCGTTTCTTTCATATTTGTAACGCCCCGATCGCTACTGTCTGTGGGTTCCCACGTCCAGTTTCGGTCTTGAATTTGGGCACATTTTCTTAGTTTTGTCGTACTCTTGATTTTATGACATATTCATGCTTAGTCGTTTCTTTCATATTTGTAACGTCCCGACCGCCACTGTCCGTGGGTTCCCCACGTCCAGTTTCAGTCTTTAATTTGGGCCCATCTTCTTGGTTTTGTCGTACTCTTAATTTTATGACATACTCATGCTTACTCGTTTCTTTTATATTTGTAACGCCCTGACCGCCACTGTCCGTGGGTTCCCCACGTCCAGTTTTGGTCTTTAATTTGGGCCCATATTCTTGGTTTTGTCGTACTTTTGGTTTTATGACATATTTATCGTGTCATATTTATCGTCCCTATTGTAGTATCTTTGTCTCTACCTTCGCCATTGGTCGCTGCGTAACCCTTCGGTTGATCTCTTGTTTATAAAACCCATATAAAAAGTTGTAAGAGAAATATCATTTTCTTAACTATATCGTATATGTATTTGTAGTATATTGATCTGAGATTGCAAAGATGTATGCCTATCAAGAAGCTCTTAGCAAAGTAAACACTGAAGATAGGTACTAAAAATGAGAGGGTTACAGAGAGCAAGTATCTATCCCTTAGAAACCACTATGTGCAACTGAGAATAATTCATATATGTACATACATACACATGTATACAACGTATTGAAGCTTTTAAATTTAAATATCGAATGCTACAAAACTGGAAAATTGCTTGTGGAGAAAGCAATATGAACATGGCCACATATATAACAAATAACCAGTGGCGGATCTAGAACATTTTTTAGTCTGGGACACAGTTTTATAAATTAATATAAAATAATAATAAAAATAATGTTTATTATAAAACAATCCTACAAAATACATCATATTTTCCTCTATTTTTTAGAATATTTTCATCACTATTTTATTCGTCATTTTACCAGACAATTTTTCTAACAAGACTATCTAAAATATATTGTTTAGCAACAATTTCCATATGAATTAGTTATGAAAGAGTTGAAAATGACAAATTATGTTTTTTCTTTTTTTTTTTTTTTTTTTTTTTTGAAAACAACAAACAAATTATGTTTATCTAAGGTCAACAATGCTTTATGCATATGGTTTAAACTTTTTATGACTTTTTCCAACGAGCCTTTTTGTAGAATTTAGGAGAAGTAGGGATTTATGTGGATTGTTAGGTTAATAAATTTTTGGGCTGAAACACTTTGGTTTTCTTTCTCAATTGGGCTGGGGCACGTTTCTGATCTTTTTCAATTGGATTAAAGAAATTTGCTGAATTTTTATAATTTCTTCTATAATTACAAAAGCAAAAAAAAAAAGTAGTATGGGGCACGTGCCTCCCCTTGTTATGCCTTAGATCCGCCCCTGCAAATAACCGATTATGCTTGTTGTAGATCATTCTCTTTCAAACCAAAAGTTTTACCTAAACAACATATCAAGTGACTCACAAGAGATACATAAGAGCCATATCCTAAAAATATCCGGCAAAGCAAAACGCTTACAAACAAAGAAAGCAAGCTTTGTTCCAAAAGATCGAACATTCGTACATCATGTTCCAGTTTATTTCTTAACTTTGTTGTTCGTCCAGACTACCTTCTCCAGAGAATTGGAGAGCTTCTCATATAACTGCAAACACACTGTTTAGCTCATTAAACCGGTATTTATACTACGGTATAATCTAAAAGAAACTGTAAAACATAACTCAAATTTTTTTTATCTGAACAGGCCGATGTCTTTTTCATATGGGATCTCATTGTGGGAGATTCTAACCGGAGAGGAATCCTATGTAGATATGCACCGTGGAGCAATTATTGGTAAGTTCAGAAACTATCACTCAGTTTCACTTTACCTCAAAAGAACAAAACCACTTTTTGCTCATTTGTTTCCTCTTTTTAACACTAAGGTGGGATAGTAAAAGAACACGCTTCAAACTCCCATACCGTAAAGTTGTTCTCCGAGATTGGAAAAAACTAAGAGAACAATGCTAGTCTGTAGACCTTGATTCTCGTCCTCCATTTAACATGCCTACTTTAGTCCATGTCAATGAAATAGGAGTTCAGAGTAACTGTTAATGATCAGAGACCATGGTGAGTCTTTTGTTGTTTACTTGAATGTTATTTTGGTTTTTATTATGTGCATTGTGAATCAATGGATTTGGTAACTTATTATATTCAATCTATTGTTTTGTTTTGTATAATATTGTTGTTTCTAATTTTACTTTTGAATTTTATATGGCATTTGATCAATATGATGAGTGAAACCGTGGAAGATAGTGAATAGAAAGGGTGTAAAAGTTGAGACTCCAGGTTCGAGAAGGAAGTCATTGGAAAATTTGAGTATATACCAAACTGGAGAGTAATTCGGCTACAAAGAGAGATGTGTTGGCTTTGAAGAAAAAGCTATGTGATGCTCTACCTTTTATTTATGAATTTTATGCTATGAATATATGTTTTTGTTAGGGTTCAACTTCAGTCTCCGGATTAGAGACTTATATTCATCCGACAAACAATTCGATGTCACAATCAACGCTACAAAATTGGTGGGTTCTCTCTATTAACAAACAAAAAAAATTTCTGGGGTATATATATTTTTTTTGTTTTGTTAGATCCATACGACGAAGAACATGACGAAGAACACCAAAAATTCTCATCAATCCGGTACGTTTGATCTTATTTTTATTAGTTTAACAATTACAGTTATGTCCGAATCTGAAATAACCATGGCTCCAGACTCCTTCACACCATGGCCACATATCACCGGAGTGGAGACGATTTCAAATTCGGAGCTTCTCTTCGCATATAAAATCATACATATGGTCTCTTTGTTTCGGGTTCCCTCTACAATAATTAGTACATATTACAAAACTGAGCTACAAAAGAGCACATTGGATTTTGGTAAACATCAAGATTGCTTCCTACCTTCCAAGAAACATGATAGACTAATTCACATCCAAGACCAAACATTAGCCACATAAAGCCTGAATCAAATTAAACGATCTTAGGATGCTCTTCATAATCCGTAAGTTAAAGAGACTTGCATTAATATTGCAAATTAGACTCTAGAGGTCCACAATGGTTAATCGGAGTGTATCAAAGACGACGAGTAAAGCATGAATTAGAATATCAGCAGAGGAAGCACACAAATATTCAATAAATTTCAATAAACGTAATCAATCACTGAGAATAGCATGGACCCAACTTTTGAAATGAGAAGATCAATGATTGATGACTAACCATACAACCGAAGCAAAGCCATAAACAGAAACGAAAGTACTAAAGAGCCACAACAGCAGTGATACGACATTTGTTTCCTCACACTGGAAACAATGACGTGCTTCCATAAATCCAATCTAGTTTTCATGCAAAACAAACCTGCATTCATAATAAACACTACTATTAATTAATATTTTTTATGCAAGAATTAAATGGCAGTATAAAAGATTCAATGGTTAGTGCCGAAAAAAAAAGCAAGGATTAGTTATGATATCAAATCAAAATTAAATATCAAGCAAGGTATTTACATAAAATTAAGGCAGTGGAGGATCTAGGAATTTTTTATATGACAATATCTACAACTAAACAAAGAAAATTTATATATTTTTAAAACAGAATCATTATTTGTTTTTTGGTAAGATTAAAACCGAATCATTATCATATTAGTAAAATTATCATTTATTTATTATTATCCACGTTAATTTAAAAGTTTAAGAGAATATCTGCTTTTTTCTCATAAAAGGATGGAATAATAAAATAACTCTTTTAGATTTATAACTATATTTGACATTATCTTATTAAATCTATTAAGATAAATATATTTCTTTTTGAAAAATATAAATAAAATGATAATATAATTATTATAGATTTACAATTATATTATTATCCATGTCAAAATTTTAAAAAATTTTACTTTTTTCTCACATAGGAAGATAGAAGAATAACGTAACAGTTTAAGATTTACAACATAAAATAATATCAGAATTGGAACGCCAAATCATAATCAACACAATTAACACAACTCTAATGGGAAATTAGAGTTATCTTGTGATTAAAATACTAAACAAACAAAACTAACCGAAACAAAACAAAAGTCTTCCTTTCAAATCATTAACGTGACGGATTGCTGACTGATTAAGTTGAAGTTTTAGGCATTTAAAGATCTAGAAAGATGATTAAGGTTAAACATTTTTATTTATTTTAAACAACGTTTGAATGTTGACAAAAAAAAGAAGAAGAGAGTGTTGGGACCATCGGGAGAGACAACGTTGAGCAGCTGCGAAAGAAGCCAACGTTGTCTATTATGTTCCTCACAGTGTTTGATTTGACTTTTGATGACATTTCACTCCTGTCCACTTGTTGTCTCGAAAGTTCATGCAATGGAAAAGTATTAAACAAAACAATTTACTTTTATGTATAAATCCTAGGGAAGAACCGATCAAGCTAAGATCAATGGTTGTGGTTTTAGTACCGTATACTTCTCAAATATACCCGTTGAATAACGGAAATCCGCAAGACGGGGAGGAGACGAAGTCAACCTAGCTGGCAAAGGAGCTAACCCAGCTCCTTTGGTCTTATTTATGGTCATCTGTATTTAGCAAAATACTAGATCCGGACCCGCACATACGTGCGGGTGTAATGTAGATTGTTTGCATAAAATTTTAATTAAGAATTTACTTCTTTTTTTTGTGTTAGTGAATTATATAATAGTATATATATCATAATTGTAGGATATTTTACATAAAATATTTTGTTTTCTGTTTTAAAAACACTTTGTAACACAAATTTAATTTTTGTTTGATTAGTTATAAATAGGGGTGTCAAAATGGTTTAAAATTGATGGATCAATCCAAACCAATCCAACTCATGGATTTAATGAGTTGAAAATTTGGATATTAATGGATTAATGGATTAAATGGTTTAATGAGTTTAATGAGTTGGATTGAAATGATTTGGTTTAGATTGGATTACTGGGTTATCCATAACCAAACCAATAAAAATTATATAATTGAAATCAAATATGTAAACCAAATATAACCGAATTGAATCATTAAACCGATTTTAGTAAACAGAAATAAACATAATTTTCTTAAATCGCTTAACCATCGATCTTTCTCGGCGTCAAATCTCTCACTGTCGATCCCTCTCAATCTTAAGGTTTCACCGGCAAATCCATCGACAACGTTAAACGACGAAGCCAACAACGCCGTTCACCGGCAAAGCCACTGACACTCGAATCCCTCATCGTCACTCATGGAGTCCTTGGTCGTCGTTTTGTGATCAATTTATGAACCAATATCATAGTTACAAGTATTTCGATGACGACGACAACGACGACGACGACGACGGCGACGGCGACGGCGACGGCGACGGCGACGGCGACGGCGGCGGCGGCGGCGACGACGATGACGGCGGCGACGACGACGACGGCGGCGGCGGCGGCGACGACGATGACGGCGACGACGACGACGATGACGGTGATGGTGATGATGATGGTGGTGGTGAATTGATGACGATGGAGTGATGATGATGATGGTGGTGGTAACATGATAGTTACTAATTATCAATTAATTAGGATTTAAATTATAAGAAAACTATGTTATGGATCAACTCATTAAATCCATTAATCCACTCATTTAAATGAGTTATGGGTTAATCCAAACCATTTGCTAAATGAATTGGATTGATTCATTAACCATTAAACACTAAATCAATATGGATATGGGTTGGTTTGGTTTGGTTTAACCAACTTGACACCCCTAGTTATAAACTTTAAATAGAAATTTAGTTATTAAAAGATTTTAAGTTTTATTTGCATCATTTTTAAGTGTTTTATTTAAATAAATAGTTTGGTTTTGGACTTTTGGTGCATAACAAATAATTTGAACAGTTACAGAAGTCAGGTGTGTAATATTTATGATAGAAAAGTAAAATTTTGAAAGAATATGTAATTTTAAAATGTTAATTTAATTAAGTAGCCCATAACTCAAGCCGAATAGCTGTTTTTTGGCACGAAATATTTGTTGATGTTGGCCGAAATACATTTTCGTATATTAAGGATTGTTTTTTTATTTGGACAGATAATTGTTTTTAGAATCTTTAACAAAAAAATAATAATTGTTTTTAGAACAATTGCTGTCTTATCTTAAAAAAAGAAAATGTACCGAATACAATTGAGAACATCAGTTGATCAAAGAATCATTGGCGAAACTCTCATATAATCCACTATCTCGTCTCCGTTTATACTGTTTTTCGCAAATTGTGAATTCTATAAAGAGGTAAGCTTATTATTGAATCAGATTTATACTTTTACTCTTTTTCTATATGTCGATTCAATTTCCAATCTTTTGAAATTTTATGTTTGAATAGAGATCTTCGCCAAGGATTGTCAAGAACCCGGATCTACTATGGGTAATTATTGTCAATTTTATATCTAAATTTTGTTTTCACAGTCATGTAGCTACTTCTTCATTTTCTTCAACGGTGCCTGTAGCATCCATTCCCGGACCCATGGTCTATCCTCAACCTTTTGGTTTGGTTTCTTTCGTATATGTTTATCCTCAGTTATTTGGGTTGAAAATCCAGAATATGATTGAATTCACAGCGTTTTGGAATTTGAGATTCCGGATTCAAATTAGGGTTTTATACATTCACCAGCTTTGATTTAGGGATTTATGTTGTTGTTTTTTTTTTTTGGTATTTTTCCCTTTTTAGTCCGAACATAAATCAGTCCGAACAATATTTTTCTCTTTTTAGCGCGTGGGGTTAACACGCTTCTCCCTCCTCTCTCTTCCTCTCTGCTTGTAGATCTAGATCTTCTCTCCAGTTTTGCCTCTCAGGTGTGCTCCTCCGGCGCCGGAGAGGGCTTGTTCTCTTTACTTTCTGTTGTAGTTCTTCTCTCCCTCCTTCGTCTCCGTCTTCCGTCGAGATTAGCTGTTTTTGGACGCGTCTATCCGCCTATTCCGGCGCTTCATGGTGGTGGTTGTCGGATTGAAGCTGATGCGTGGCGCAAGGAGACTCTCGGCTTGCTGGTTGGATTCGTCTAGGTTCTTAGTTTGAGGACGGCTTTGTAACCGGTTTGTTTCTGACAGCTTTTTTTTTTTGGCCGATTCTCCTTCACGTATTGGACCTCTTCTCTGGCAAGGGTTGTGGCTTTGTTGCGGTGCCTAGATAGGTTTGCTCTTCTCCTTATCGGCGGGTTATCTTCTCAGATTGGGATTCACGGTGGTGCTCCGCCGCAGCCTTCCAGATGTTGTTTTTTTTTTTTTGGTATTTTCCCTTTTATGTTGTTGTTGAGGTAGTAGTTTCCCGGTATTATTGATACTATGATTATAAATTCTACCAATTAGGGATCAGATGTTTTGCACTTAAAGCTCTTTGGATTTGGACATGGTGTTTGGATTTCACTTCCTCGTTTGCTTTTGATGTTTTTTACTGTTTTGTTAAAGTAGAATTTTTACAAATTTATGTTCCACTTTTGTAGCAATCTCGGGAATTAAGTGAATGATGATGCTTTTTCCAAGGCATTTTCTTGATTCGTCACTATCCATATGGCGAAGGTAAGTGCGTATCTATATGTTTATCAACATTATATAAGTCCAATGATCAAAAAAAAATCTTATTCTTGCTTTTATTGAATTCGATGTCCTTTATTTCTTAGAATCACCTTTGCCCAATTATTTAAAGACTCTACATATTATTCGTCATTGGTTTCTTTCTTATGAAACTTTTCTTTGATTTTAGTTGTTTCTAACTAATCTATGGGATAACTATTAGTTGTTTTCAATATCAGGTTCTGATCCGAGTTATGGCCTTGGTTTTTAGGTCCAATTAAAAGAGTTGTGAAAGAGTAAAGGAATTATTAAGTAAACTATTCATTCACTTCGCCAATATCAATCATGTAAGTGTTCTCTCGTTTTTTTTTTGTTGGTGTTGTTGAATGAAAATATGAAAGATCTATGTACATACGTGAATAGTCAAAACCAATTTAAAATCCTAGAAAAAACAGAAAATTATGGGAGTAGGTCACTCTTCACTCTTCTCTTCTTTAACATTCTCTTACATTTAGTCTTATATACTATGAAATGAAAAAGAGACTTCCCATGGCATTAGAAGGTTCAGGTTCTTTAAAAAATATCTGGTTAGATTAAGATTATTGATGGCCCACGACCATAACTTCGCCTAAGGATAACTCCTACAGGATCTGAAACATTTCCATCATTCATTGTCCTATTGTCGATGGTTTTCTTCTTTATCTGTGATGAACACCATCAACCTATATGGAAAATTTCAGAAAACAGCTTAACATAGTTAGTCTACCTTCAATTAGGCAAAATACATTAGAATCAAATGATAAAGACAATGGTTAATGATAAACATACAAATATTCAACGCTCTCTTAAGCATACCTTAGAAACCTTAGTTAACATGATTTTAACTTGAATTTCCGACTTGTCAAAGGAGTAGCAAAAGCAAAGGTTTCGTAAGAAAGGTTAGTGTGTGTCTTAAATGGCAGTAGACATTCTATATTTATATGAAAAAAGGTCGGCTAGATTGTTTTAGGGTTGAAAGAATCAAATCAAAGTAATATATTTGCGAATATGGTTTTTTAAGGAATATGCTCGATTTGTTAGCATTTGAATATTTGGTTATTGTTATGTTTGGTAAGTCTTATAACTGAATTCGTATTTTAAGAGATTTATAATTATTTACTAATCGGAATATATTTGATTTGTTTGTTATAGAAATATTTTCAATTGATAACTAACATATTTGGTTATGGCATTAACTATAGGAGATCGGAAAAGAATATTCGAGAACATCAAACGGATCCGCGAGTTTAACGGATCCAAGAGCCCAATCATTATCAAGATTCAAGGTCCGCGTGTTTTACCAAAGGAATATGGATCTAGATCCGACCCAATACCTAAGATCCGCGTGTTACTTATCAGCAAATTAGCCATTTTACCCTTTAACGAATATTTATGTTTACTCTTAAAAAGGATTAATTGTAATGGCATTCATTTGTAATTCTTTACCCTTTATAAGGTTATTTATTATCCAATGCTTCCCAATTAATAGTATAGATGGTATACAAACCGAACCAATCAACAACAAAACCTGGTTTTGTTATAAACCATTTGGATGGACTCCATAACCGGCCCATGGCCCAATAGGGTTTTACCTTATTCTCTGTATCCTGCTATTATCCTTGTATATATATCCCTTATTCTATTAATGAAAGACACAGTTCACAACACGTTATCAGCACGATAGCCTCTCACCCTAAAAGCTAAAAATCCCGAAACCCTAAATCTCTCTCACAAAACCAAAGACCCTAGCCGTCTGAGTTTAAAAGAGATTTTTCAAAAATCCCTAACTTCGTTCTAGCCGATGGCATCGGGCTATCGATCGAGATAAGAATGATTGATCATGATTTATGAGATGGTTCCAGCAAAATTCTAATAGTCAACACCTCCGTTGAATCTCCGAACTCCAAACCACTGTCAACGAGCTAAGTACTATTTACCCAACATATGATTTAGATCTCATTAATACAACGATTGTTCATGGCATATTTTATATAGTACTTAATTGACGGATCTTTATAATAGATCAACCATAATTGCTTTGTTTATTGTTTCATAAATACAAAGTTAAGTCGACGTATTCATGCTCTCGTTTGTTTAATTTGTTTGGTCAAATTTTGATTAGATTTTATTGTAATATTTTATTCATTACATAAACGGTGATTCAACCTTTATCACTGATCGAAATATTTTATTATTATTTTGTTAATTACCGAGATAACGCAAACTCGTTTGTTTGATAAATCGTTGGTATGCCGTTGGGCTGGTTTTAGTCGGTTTAATAATTGGTGAATTCATGTGACTCATGTAGCCGACCTCTCAGTTGATGAATCATTTGTCATATCTAGCTATACAAGGACTTCCTCATGGTGTCTCTGTCTCTGATTTCTATTGACGCCTTCATCAAGATAAGTGCTATTTATTTATTATGCTTTATATACATGATCCAATTAAAGTTTGATAAGATAAAATTTGCATGAAAATTGGCACATGTGATTTGATTTATGATTGGAGAATTAATTGAGAAGTTAGTGAATGGAAAGATGTTTAATGGCATGATAGATTGAATGTTTTAATATAAACCCTAGGTTAAACCGAAAGTAAACCGAAAGTAAACCGAAACCCTAAATCCTAGGTTAAACCGGTTTAATAAACCCTAAGTCACGGTTTAAGATCAACTTTCCCATAAATAGAAAGTTCCATATATGGAAAGTTTCCAGAAATAGAAAGTTTCGTAAAATAGCAAGTTTCCCAAAATAAAAGGTTCCCTAAAATAGCAAGTTTCTCAAAATGGAAAGTTTCCAGAAATAGAAAGTTTCCATAAATGGAAAGTTCCATATAAGGAAAGTTTCCATAAATAGAAAGTTCCATACATAAAACCGAAACCCTAGCAAAACCCTAGTACTAATGTACTATAAATCGCGGATGCTAAAACCCTAAAACTTAACCGCGAAATCCTAATATCCTAATCTAGTATGATCCGATTGTTTGGTTGTTTTTTTTATTGCATACTAGATCAATCTTCTAGGGTTGATTTCACCATATATAACATGATTGTTTAGAAAACACTTGCTGAAGATAAGTATGGCTCGGTCTTAAATACCGCATGACTTGGTCTAACCGATTACATGAGTTCTCATTTAACTCTATATATTATAGATATCAGAAATCAACTATTATGAATACACGGCACTCAATGTCTCTGGTGATAATTATTTAAAATGGGCTTTGGACACTGAGATTGTCCTAAAGGAAAAAGGGCTTGGTGAATCTATTGTGGAAGGAAACAATGTCACCAGAAGAGAAAGATATAAGGCGATTACTAACATACGCCATCACCTCAATGAGAGTCTAAAAATCAGTATCTCACTATTAAGAATCCTCTGGACCTCAGGACAGAGTTGAAAAAAAAAAAAAAAAAAAAAAAAAAAATCAATCAATATAACCACCAAAAAAACGGTGCTATTACCCAAAAGCCCGATTCGATCAGAAGAATCTCAGATTCGAGGAATTCAAGTCCATAAATGAGTATAACTCAGCACTATTTAAAATAGTGTCAATACTGAGATTCCGTGGTGAGGAAGTTACTGAGAATGACTTGCTAGAGAAAGCATTCTCGACCTTTCACACAAACAATATATTGCCTCAGCAATAATATCGTGAAAAGGGTTTTTACCACATATGCAAGTCTAAACTCTTGTTTTGCTACTTGCTGAGCAAAACAATGAGTTATGAATAGTGAAATGAGACCTCCTGGTCATACCCCATTACCAGAAGCCCATTGGGCTGAAGAGCCTAAAGAGCCTAAAGAGACTAAAGAGTCTAACCACGTCCAAAGAGATAAGTATCATGGGCACAGTCATGATAAATGGAATGAACGTGGTAGAAGTGGCAACTATAATTTATATGATTAAGGAAACCATTCATATGGTTAAGGCCGCCGACCCGACTTTGGTCGTAATCGAGGTAGAGGCCGCGGTATACCCAAACCACAACACTCAAATAAACTTGTTTGCCACTGATGAAGAATGGGGAAACCATTGGACTAAGACGTGCAGGACACCTAAGCATCTCGTTGATCTCTATCAAGAGAGTTTGAAAAGAATCTAGAAGCTCATTTAGTTCATCACGATGGTGAAGAAGATTTCGACCATGAGATAGATGACTATGAAAATTCAATAAACGAAATATCCAAAGACATGGTTCATTAGCCAAATTGCGGGTATAGCTAAATTTAGTGAAGGCTAAGGGCAGGCCCATGGCAGGCCCATATTCCCAAGGGCACGCATCCTCAGATGCTTCATATTCACCCAGCTCAAAGGGGCTCTTTGAGTTTCAAAGAAATGTGTTTGAATGGTTTCCACATTGAAACTAAGGGTGAAGGGAACAAAGGATTCCCATATATTACTAAGAGCACCCAAGACCATGAGAAGGTCTTAGAGACTATACCCGCGTCATAGACCTTTACTATGCCAAGGTCAATATGATAAAGGCTAATACAGTAAACAAAAGGGTTTACTGAGAAATTCACTAATGGCATGACCGGCTTGGCCAGCCTGGTTCTAACATGATGCGTAAAGCAGATATTAAAATCAAAAGGGCACACCCCTTAAAGACCTCACGTGTGTAGCATGTACACAAGGGAAACTCATACTAAGGCCATCACCA